TCTCCGTAGTCCTCCTCCGCTGCTGCCTCTGCCGGGTGGGATCCGGATGGGGGTCCGGACCCTAAACCTGGGTGGGAACCGGATCCACCCAGGCCAGGTGGGGGTCCGGATCCCACCCTGGGTGGGAACCGGATCCACCCAGGCCAGGTGGGGGTCCGGACCATCCCGGGTGGGAACCGGATCCACCGAGGCCGGGTGGGGGTCCGGACCATCCCGGGTGGGATCCGGATCCACCCAGGCCGGGTGGGGGTCCGGACCATTTCGGGTGGGATCCGGATCCACCCAGGATAGGGGTGGGGGTCCGGACCCTAAACCCGGGTGGGGACCGGATGGACCCAGGCCGGGTGGGGGTCCGGACCATCCCGGTTGGGGACCGGATGGACCCAGCCCGGGAGGGAACCGGACCCACCAGAGCCCGGGTCCTAGGGAGAGACAAGATACCCCTTCCTCATTCCAGGGCCAATCACTCGGATAACGTTGGGTTACCATCATTTGGGGCGTTTGGAAATGCCCCACCAGGGCCCAATGGAGAGAAGATAACAACTCCCTACCCTATTCCAGGGCCAATCACTCGGATAACGTTGGGTTACCTTCATTTGGGGCGTTCGGAAATGCCCCACCAGGGCCCAAGGGAGAGAAGATAACAACTCCCTACCCTATTCCAGGGCCAATCACTTGGATAACGTTGGGTTACCTTCATTTGGGGCGTTCGGAAATGCCCCACCAGGGCCCAAGGGAGAGAAGATAACAACTCCCTACCCTATTCCAGGGCCAATCACTCGGATAACGTTGGGTTACCATCATTTGGGGCGTTTGGAAATGCCCCACCAGGGCCCAATGGAGAGAAGATAACAACTCCCTACCCTATTCCAGGGCCAATCACTTGGATAACGTTGGGTTACCATCATTTGGGGCAAACGGAAATCCACCACCATGGCGCTGGGGAGGGGCAACATACCCGATTCCCTACCCTATTCCAGGGCCAATCACTCGGATAACGTTGGGTTACCATCATTTGGGGCCATCTTGGGATGGATATGAGCCCGTGCAAGGGTGATATTGAGCCTTGGCCCCTAAATCCCCCGGTACAATGGAGCGTTTGTAGCTAAGAGCACATGGATGCAGCTAAGAGGGTGTTGCGCTACCTGTGCAGTACGTCGGGCATGGGGCTCGTGCTTGGAGGACGGGCTCCAGTTGTCCTCACTGGTCACGCAGACGCTTCTTGGGTTGACGACTTGGCTACGCAGCGGTCGTCACAGGGTTACACCTTCAGCCTTGGTTCCGGCTCTGTTTCGTGGCGGTCTACCCGCTCGTCTTCTGTTCTCAGCTCCAGTTGTGAGGCTGAGATCTACGCTGGGGCCATGGCTGCACAGGAGTTACGCTGGCTCACCTACCTGCTGACCGACTTGGGAGAGGCGCCTCGTTCTCCTCCAGTTCTGTACGTCGACAACAAGGCCATGCTTGCCTTGTGTCAGGAGCACAGACTGGAGCACAGAACGAAGCACATTGCTCTGCGCTACTTCCTTGCTCGAGAGTTGCAGCTGCGTGGTCAGCTTCGTCTTGCTTACGTGGCCACCCGGGCCAACACTGCTGATATCTTTACCAAGGCACTTCAGCCTTGTGATCATCAGCGTTTTTGCACTATGTTAGGTCTTGTGCCTACCTGGCCTCACTTGCTCACCTCTTGACTTTGCTTGTACTGTGATCTATATACATATACCTGCATGCTTACTCTTGCTAGGTTGTGATCACTGTACTGTTTGCTCTCCTTTATATAACTCTGCATGTGGACAGGCCTTGTGGCCATTTGCTTGTGCTCGGACTGCGTGGTGACGTTGTGATCCACCCTGAGCTTGACCTTGCTTCGTTCTCTTGCTTGTCCCCCACTTTGCCTATGGGTGTGTGTCATAACTATATTGTAGGCTGTAGTGGGGCACTCCTTATGGGGTACAGTCCTGTTAGGTTTTGCCTATACAAACCCTGTACAGTCCTGATTCTAATCATTCCTTGTTCTAATTCTCACAACGATCTCGATCCACATCTGATGGCTTCGGTTTCGTCGACCGCGCGGCTGGCGCCACTGCCGCTCGTCGTCTTCGGCGTCGCAATCGTCGCGATCGTCGAGATCGTCGCAGCCCTCCTCCCCTCCTGCGACGCAATCCGCATCGCCGCGTCGCCCGATGCGACCGTCCTCAAGTCGCAGCGTAAGTGTCGTTCCGTCATTTGCTGATGCCATGCTTCGTCTGCGGATGTGCGTGAATCGTTTTGTTTTTTTTTTCGTGTTTCCCGCCTCTCATTGTTCTCGTCGTCTCTTCCGCCTTCCTTCGTTCCTCCTCCGTCCCCCTCCGTCCGCCTCCGTCCGTCCGTGGACGTTCTCCGTCAGCTTGGCACGCAGTCGGGCAGCGAGTTCGCGGGGTTCAAGTCGTGGACGACCAGCGCCTCGCCCGCCAAATGCGCCACGTACTTGGGAGTGACGTGCGACGCGGCGGGCAACATTGTCGCCATGTGAGTGCCGTGCGGGGAGGGTAGGGAGCGAGCTTGGTGGAATGGTCCACTCCGTGCCAAGCACTCACATCATATCACATGAAGTACTTCTCGCCAACGTGAGTGCGACACGCAGGGCAACATCGTCGCCATGTGAGTGCCGTGCGAGCAGAGCAAGGAGCGAGCCTGGGGGGAATGATCCACTGCGCACCAAGCACTCACATCACATGTAATGACCCTCGCCAACATGACGTGCGACGCGGCGGGCAACATCGTCGCCATGTGTGTGCCGTGCGGGGATAGCAGGGGGTGGAATGGTCCGCTCCGCGCTGAGCACTCACATCACGTCACATGCAGTAACCCTCGCCAACGTGAGTGCGACGCGGCAGGCAACATCGTCGCCATGTGAGTGCGGGGAGTGCAGGGAGTGAGCTTGGGGAATGACTCGCTCCGCACCTAGCACTTACATGTGGCCCTCGCCAACGTGATGTGCGGAGGGCAACATCGTCGCCATGTGAGTTCGAGAGGAGAGTAAGGAGCGAGCTTATTCAGAAAGGTCATCCACTTGGAGAATCCTGTACACTCAATTTTAAAACCCTCTAAGTAATACCTCTAGGCGAAGTGATAGATTCAAACGACCAAGTCACGCCAACAGCTTCTGCTCTTTTCTTTATAATCTGCAACCTAAGTGAATCTGCTTCTCGTGATTGCATCTCCCTCTATTCTATCCCCCGCCTGCAGCAACGTGAGAGAAGCGGGTCTCAAGAGCCCAATCGACGATCTCTCCAAGCTCGCTGCACTTGAATCGCTGTAAGATGGAGTGCCGAGTGCTGTAAGATCGCTGCGCTGTTGCTCCTCCTCACCGTTGCTGTGTGCCATGTTGAGCACTGAGCTGCTGTACTAAGGTTGAATGGTGTAAAGGATTGTTAGGTCAACCTGCTGCCAGTTCCTCTATCATGTGTAACTCTCCTGTTACCATTATCTCTCCTCTTTTCATCGTCTACCGCCTTGCTCCCCGAGATCTCCCCCTCCTCTCTCCACCCCTTGGCTCCCCGCCCACCGTTTAATTCCCCTCTTCCCCCCCACACCCCCTTCCTCTTTCCCCGCCAGCGACGTGAGTCAGAACAGCGATATCACGGAGCTGCCACAGTCACTGGCGCAGCTCAAAAAGCTCAAACTCCTGTGAGTTCGGTGCTAGGACTCTCACGTGTGGGTTCCGGGGCTGCGTTGGATGGACTCTCGACAGCCACCGCATTGAATGAGCCCAGGGTGGGCTCCAGGGCTTCTGGAATGAGACTCATCCCCATCAACGTTGCAACGGCCGTACCACCTCAACCCTTGCTTCCGTATACTTGAGAGATCAGACAGAAAGGGGGCAATCCTCCCTCCCTTCTGGACAATTAGGGACCCTCTATTTTTTGGCCGATTTGAGCCATTGTAGCCATTCCATGCACTCCTGCCAACCTCGCTCCTCTCGTTGCTCATCACCACGCAATCTCCACGTGGTTTAGATGCGCTCCTCTCATCGCTCATCTCGGACGCCATTCACTTGTGGCTTCACGGTCACTCACCTCTCCTATTGCTCTCACTCCACATTCCACCTCTCCTCTCTCTTGCCTTGCTCCTGCTCATGCTCCCCCCTCCGACCCCCTTCCCCCGACCCTCCCTTCACCTGCGCACAGCAATGTGTTCAACTGTTGGATCGGGGGGCGCATCCCGCCCTTTCTCGGCCAACTCACTGCCCTCACATTCCTGTCAGTCACCCTGCCATGCCATACGATGCCATACAATGCCATGATGTGTCGTGCCATGCCATGCCATGCCATGCCATGCTGTACCATGCTATGCTGTCCCATCCCATGCCATGCCATGTCATGCCATGCTATGCTATCCCATGCCATGCCATGTCGTGCCATACCGTGCCATGTCGTGCCATGTCGTGCCGTGCCGTGCCATGTCGTGCCATGCCGTGCCATGCCGTGCCATGCCGTGCCATGTCGTGCCATGCCGTGCCATGCCGTGCCATGCCGTGCCATGCCGTGCCATGCCGTGCCATGCCATGCTATGATGTCCCATGCCATGCCATGTCGTGCCATGCCATGCCGTGCCATGTCGTGCCATGTCGTGCCATGCCGTGCCATGCCGTGCCATGCCGTGCCATGCCGTGCCATGCCGTGCCATGCCGTGCCATGCCGTGCCATGCCGTGCCATGCCGTGCCATGCTGTGCCATGTCGTGCCATGCCGTGCCATGCCGTGCCATGTCGTGCCATGCCGTGCCATGCCGTGCCATGCCGTGCCATGCCGTGCCATGCCGTGACATGCCGTGCCATGCCGTGCCATGCCGTGCCATGCTGTGCCGTGCTACCACGCCATGCTATGCTGTCCCATGCCATGCAGTGCCATGTTGTGCCGTGCCTGCGCTGCCGTGCCTGCTCTGTCATGCCTACTCTGCCGTGCCTGCTCTGTGGTGCTGTGCCATCGCCACCAACCCTCTCACACTGTCTGACATATTCAAATGCACCTCCCCTCCCTGTTCCCCGGCTTGCTGTCTCCCCCGTGCTTCCTCCTGCTCCACAACACGCTCCATCATCCTCGCTCATGTCTCCCTCGTCTTCCTCTCATCTCTCCCTCGTCTTCCTCTCATGTCTCCCTCGTCTTCCTCTCATCTCTCCCTCGTCTTCATGTCTCACTCGTCTTCCTCTCATGCGCCTCTCATGTGCCCCGCATGTGCCCGTGCCCCGCGTGTGCCGCGTGTGCCCCGCGTGCGCCGCGCATCAGGAACGTTGGTGGTAACCCGTTTGTGGGCGCGGTGCCTTTCAGCTTCGGCAACCTTGTCAATCTCCTCTCCCTGTAAGCATTCCGCCTCATTATAAGCATCCTGGTCTCGCTACAAGCATTCTGGTTGACAAAAAAAATATGGTCTCGCTGTAAGCATCCTCGTCCTCAGCTGTCAATAGTTTCATGCAGTTTCATATAGTTTCATGTAAGATCCTTGTCCGTCCTGCCCCCTCTCTCCTTCCCCTTCCCCCTACTCCTCCTCTCTCCTGGCCTGCCAGAAAAAATGTTATGCTTGCCTTTTCTATTGTTCCCCTTCCCCCTCCCTTCTTTTGAACCGCCATGCCAGCAACATCGCGGGAACAGGTGTTGACGGCGTGGGAGGCACCCTGCCCTCCAGCCTTTCCAGCCTGACCAAGCTCAAAGAGCTGTACGTGCCTGGGGCTGGATGGGGGGCCACAGGGGGGCGGAAGGGTGTTGGGGGAGGAGAACGTGGGCGAAGAGCGGGGACTAGAGAGTAAGAGGAGGCGACTTTTGAGTCGACTCAAAAGGGTGTTGGGGGAGGAGCATGTGGGCGAAGAGCGGGGACTAGAGAGTAAGAGGAGGCGACTTTTGAGTCGACTCAAAAGGGTGTTGGGGGAGGAGCACGTGGGCGAAGAGCGGGGATAGAGAGTAAGAGGAGGCGAATTTTGAGTCGACTCAAAAGGGTGTTGGGGGAGGAGCACGTGGGCGAAGAGCGGGGACTAGAGAGTAAGAGGAGGCGACTTTTGAGTCGACTCAAAAGGGTGTTGGGGGAGGAGCACGTGGGCGAAGAGCGGGGACTAGAGAGTAAGAGGAGGCGACTTTTGAGTCGACTCAAAAGGGTGTTGGGGGAGGAGCACGTGGGCGAAGCGCGGGGACTAGAGAGTAAGAGGAGGCGACTATTGAGTCGACTCAAAAGGGTGTTGAGGGAGGAGCACGTGGGCGAAGCGCGAGGAGTAGAGAGGAAGAGGAGGCATCTCTTGTCGTTTGGCTTTCTTCTTCTGGATAAGCGGTTAGTGCATTGCCAGTGCAGGGGGGTGGCAGGGGAGATAGAGAAGACGGAGGAAGAGAGAGGGAACAGCGTGACTTACCTTGAGGAGACTGACTTACCTCGTGGTTACGCTTGGCTAATGTAAACCAGCTGACAGCTGAAGAGAAGGCGTTGGGTGGGGAGACAGGGGAGGGAGGCTTAGGTTGAAATGAAGGGAGATAGTGGGAGCAGTGCCAGTGGATTTCCCTCTGTGCTTCTCACTACCAACACCTTTGCCTGATGCTTATCACCTCAATTGCTCGGTTTCCTATCGTCAAATCCCCATCTTTCCCCTCTAACACTCTCCTCCCCTCCCTCCCCTTCCTCTCTTCCCCTATGCTCTCTTCCCTATTTCCTCTCAACTCCTCCATCCGCTCTCCTCCCCAACCTCTACTATCCCTTCCCCCACTTCAGCTATATGCGCAAGAACCGCTTCAACGGTCCACTACCAGCCTTCCTCGGCACATTCACTGACCTGGAGCAGCTGTGAGTGCCGTGAGAGGAGCAGCTGTGAGTGCCGTGAGAGGAGCAGCTCTGAGTGCTGTAAGTGCTACTCAAGTGATGATATTTTTTTTCTGAGACGTCCTAAAGCTAATTCGTCATCCTTCACTCGCGTCCCACCTCCTTCCTCCTTCCTCCCATCCCCCAGCGTGGTGAGTAGCAACTATTGGTCTGGCTCCATTCCCACAGCCCTGTCAAAGCTAAAAAAACTCAAGTACCTGTGAGTCCTCCTCATGCCCAGTGACTGCTTTTTTAGAGGCGCCTCAGGAAGAGTTTCAAATACTTGTGGTGTCCTCCTTGTCACTGCTGTTTGCATTTAGGTATTTACCAGATTCCATGTCAATTCCCCCTCCTTTGTTCCATACTCTATTCGTTTTTGTCAATATTTCCAAACCGCCCTTTCCCTCCTTCATTCCTCCTTTTTCAGTTCACCCTCCTCTCTTCCGCCTTCCTCTCTCCGCTCACCTCTCTCCGCTCACCTCTCTCCGCTCACCTCTCTCCACTCACCTCTCTCCACTCACCTCTCTCCGCTCACCTCTCTCCGCTCACCTCTCTTCGCTCACCTCTCTCCCCCCTCCCTCCTCCTCCCTCCCCGCTCCTCTCTCCGCCTGCCTCTCGCTGCCTGCTTTTCTCCACCCTCCCCCTCTTTCGCAGGGGGCTGAGGGAGAACGCATTTGAGGGCGAGGTCCCAACGTTCCTGGGCACACTGGCCCAGCTCACATGCATGTAAGCTCACATACCTGTAAGCTCACATACCTGTAAGCTCACAGCAACTGAATTCTGAAACCCCTTCCACCCCCATCCCAACCCCCAACCCCACCCCCACCCCCAACCCCACCCCCAAGTCCCCACACCCAACCCCACGCAGCTTCCTGTCCGACACGCGGCTGTATGGCGAGGTGCCCAGGGAACTCAACTGCCCCACCCACCCTCTGTTACCGACTTCTTCCTTCTCCCTCCCCATGCCACCCCTTTTTCCCCCACCCCACCCCATCTCTTCCCCCACCCCCACGCAGCTCCTTGTCAGGCACGCGGCTGTACGGCGAGATGCCCAGGGCGCTGAATGGTCGTCCCAACCCCTTCTTTTCTCAATTCCCTCTCCCTCTCAATGTGCCCAATCTCCCCTCTCTTCCCCCACCCCCACGCAGCTCCCTGTCTGACACGCGGCTGTATGGCGAGGTGCCCCGGGCGCTGAATGGCCTCGTTAACCACCCTGACCGCACCTCCCCCGTACTCCTTTCCACCGTTTCCTACCGCTCACCAGCTCCCTGTCCGACACGCGGCTGTACGGTGAGGTGCCCAGGGCGCTCAACGGCCTCACCAATCTAAGAGAGCTGTGAGCCTCGCAGGGGGAGGGCAGGGGGAACCGAGTGCAAGGGGACGGACATGGGGAAGGGCTGGGGGGGTGGGGGGGGAGGGAGGGCAGGAGGACGCACAAGGAAAAGGAGAGGGGGAAGGGCAGATCGGAGGGCAGGAAGGAGGGAAGGGGATGGACAGAGGCAATGGTTGGGGGGAAGGCAGGAGGGCGGACAAGGGAAGGACAGAGGGAAGGGTATGGCGTGGGGTAGGAGGGGAAAGGGCAGGAAGACCCTTATCATTATCACCACTTCCTTTACTCGTGGCTCAATCATCTGCCTTCTCTCTTCCCCTCCACCCTCATACCATCAATCCACCCTCATACCATCAATCCACCTCATACCATCCATCCACCCTTCCCACCAAACTCACCCAGCTCTCCCACTCCACTCTGCACCCATCCCGCCCCTCCCGTTCTCCAGGTATCTCCAAACCGGCTGGTTCTACGGCCCGCTGCCCGACCTCACCGGCCTGAAGAAAGCTCACCTTGATGTACCCACCTGCACACATGCCTGCCGCCTTGCTCACTCCCTGCCCGCCTGCTTCTGCTTGCTTGCTCATGTCCCTTCACTCCCTATCACGCCTGGCAACTCGTGCTGCGTTTGACTACCATCTCACTTTCCCGAGCTCTTTCTCTCCCATCTCCTCACTTCTTCCACACACACACACATATTCCACCTCTCCTCCCTCACATTCCCTCCCTCTCAACACCTTTCCACCCACCACTCCCACCACTCCCTCCCAATCCCTCCCTCCAACGACCTTTCTGACAACTATTTCTTAGGCCCGCTCCTCCCCTTCCTGCGCCAAGTCAAGCAAGTCAACGCAGACAGCAACTACTTCTCAGGCTCAGCTGCTGCACTCCCCTGCTCCGACCTCTTCTCAGTCAACGGCAACTGCCTCTCCTCCGTCCCCTCTCAGTGCGGGGGACAGGCCGCCCAGCAGACCCCTGCAGAGTGCAGCAAGTTCTGTGGGACGGGAGCGGCTAGTGGGGCGTGTAGTGGCAACGGCGTGTGTGTGCCCGACATGCAGAAGATGCTGAGTTCACAGGCGTTTGTGCCGGTGTGTAAGTGTGGGGAGGGGTTTTGAGCTACACAGAATAAGTTGGGTTGCGTGAAGAAGTGATGGTGGAATTAAGTCGACTCAAAGCACACTTGGGTGTGCAGCGGCAATGGCGAGTGTGTGCAGGACATGCAAAAGATGCAGGGCTCTCAGGCGTTCCAGGAGGGGTTTCGAGCTACACACAATAAGCTGGGTTGCGTGAAGTGATGGTGGAACGGTGGCGTGGCGTGGTTGGAATAAAGTCTGGGAGGGAAACCCTCTTCCAGTAATTCAATGGAATTGGATTCAAAGTAGGTTGAGCCTTTGGAGGTCTCCTCCGACACCTCTGGCCCAGCGGAGGGGGGTGACCCCACGGCTGACAACACGGCGACGACTCGCCGCTCCCCGCGCTTGGAGACCCCTCCTGGTTTTCCGCCTCGGCCGTCTTCGCCGCCTCCGCAGCATGTCGCTGTGGGCTCTGGTGGTTCTGAGGGTGCTGAGTCTGGGGGTGCCCGTTCTGGGGGTGCTGGTTCTGGGGGTGCTACAGGTACTGGAGCTGGAGGTGCCGCTGGTTCTGGGGGTGCTAGAGCTGCTGGTGCTGTAGGTGCTGGAGCTGGAGGTGCAGCTGTTGCTGGGGGTGCTGCTGGTGCTGGATGTGCTGGAGGTGCTGCTGGTGCTGGAGGTACTGGAGCTGGAGGTGTTGGAGCTGGAGGTGCTGGAGCTGCTGGTGCTGGAGGAGCTGCTGGTGCTGGAGGTGCTGCTGGTGCTGGAGGTGCTGGAGCTGGAGGTGCTGGAGGTGCTGCTGGTGCTGGAGGTGCTGGAGCTGGAGGTGCTGGAGGTGCTGGAGCTGCTAGTGCTGGAGGTGTTGGAGGTACTGGTGGTGGAGGTGCTGGAGCTGGAGGTGCTGGAGGTGCTGGAGCTGCTAGTGCTGGAGGTGCTTGAGCTACTGGTGCTGGAGGTGCTGGAGCTGGAGGTGCTGGAGGTGCTGGAGCTGCTAGTGCTGGAGGTGCTGGAGGTGCTGGAGCTGGAGATGCTGTAGGTGCTAGAGCTGGAGGTGCTGGAGGTGCTGGAGCTGCTAGTGCTGGAGGTGCTGGAGCTACTGGTGCAGGAGGTGCTAGAGCTGGAGGTGCTGGAGGTGCTAGAGCTGGAGGTGCTGGAGGTGCTGGAGCTGCTAGTGCTGGAGGTGCTGGAGCTACTGGTGCTGGAGGTGCTGGAGCTGGAGGTGCTGGAGCTACTTGAGCTGGAGGTGCTAGAGCTGGAGGTGCTGGAGCTGCTGGTGCTGGAGGTACTGGAGCTGGAGGTACAGGGCGTGCTGGAGCTGGAGCTGCTGGAGCGGCTGACGGTATGGGTACTGTGTCGCGTCGACCGTTTTTCTACCCGCAGCCGCAGTCGTCCCTGCCACCGCCTGACTCGGCCCTTCGCCAGGTTCTTAGTCTCCCGTCTTCCACTGGCCTCACTCCACCTCTTATGTGTCCACCGACAGACCAGTCTCAGCCACGGCTACTGCCTGGCTCCCCATTGCCTGCTCCTGCTCCTCACACTGAGGTGACTGAGTCCCTGACTGAGCGTCGTGCGCCTGAGACTCGTGCTTCCACACCTGTTCGTGCTCGTCGTGTCCCACGTCCTCGTCCTCCTGCTGTCCCAGGCACGCACGTTATGGAACTTCGTCCTTCCTCTGTTCCACAGTGTGTTGCCCTACCGTCTCCTCCTGCGTCCTCTCTTCCTGACGTTCCTGACCCTGAGTCTGACCTTGCTCGTGCTACCAGTCCTACTGTCAATCGTCTCCTCGCTACTGTCGTCACTGACCCTGACTTTGAGTCTACTGCTGCGTTTTCCCTAGTCACTGAGCTAGTCGACTTTGCTGCTAGGAGTCGTCTTGACTACGTCGCGAGTCTTGTTACTGAGTCTGAGTCTGTCTGTCCTCCGTCCGTCAGGGGTGAGCTTGCCCTTGGCTGTGACGTCCTTGAGGACAGGCAGTTTGAGCTTGAGTGTCTTGCGACCGCTTTACCTCGTTTCGCGTCCATGCTGCTTTGCCCTGAGGGAGACCCGGATGCACTTGACATCCCCACCCCACGCTCTTACGGAGAGGCAATCACGGGTGAGTACTCCTCTCAGCGGCAGACAACCATGGATGCAGAGATGGCTTCCTGGAAGTCCACAGGCACCTGCGTCGACGAGGTTCCCCCTCCTGGGGCGAACATAGTCGATGGCATGTGGGTTTTCAGAGTGAAGCGGCCATCGGGTTCTCCGCCTGCCTTCAAGGCGCGTTACGTTGCTCGAGGCTTCAGTCAGCGACAGAGGGTCGACTTCTTCTAGACCTTCTCCCCCACCTCGAAGATGACTACTCTTCGGGTGTTGCTGCACGTTGCAGCACAGCGTGACTAAGAGATGCACTCCCTCGACTTCTCCACAACTTTCTTGCAGGGCAGCCTTCACGAGGAGATCTGTCTGCGCCGCCCACCTGGCTTCACTGGGTCGTTTCCATAGGGTACCCAGTGGAGCCTCCGACGGCCAGTCTACGGTCTCCGCCAGGCACCCCGTGAGTGGCACGACACACTGAGGAGACACTTGCGGCTCTTGGGTTTGCTCCTTCCACTGCTGACCCGTCGCTGTTTCTCCGCACTGACCCTACTCTGCCGCCGTTCTACATCCCCGTGTACGTCGACGACTTGGTCTTTGCTACTGCCGACACTGAGGCGCTGACCCTTGTGAAGGCGGAACTGCAGAAGAGACACACTTGCACTGGCCTGGGTGAGCTGCGTAGCTATCTTGGCTTGCAGATCACCCGGGACAGAGCACGGTGCACCATCACTCTGACTCCGTCACACATGGTGCACCAGATCCTTCAGCGCTTCCGCTTTCGGTTCTCCTCGCCACAGCCCACTCCTCTGCGTATAGGCCACTCGCTCTCAGCTCCACCTTCAGACGAGTCCGTAGAGCCGAATGGCCCGTATCCAGAGCTTGTGGACTGCCTCATGTACCTGATGACGTGCACACGACCTGACCTCGCGTACCCTCTCAGCATCCTTACTCGCTTCGTCGCCCCCGGGCGACACAGGAAGGAGCACTGGACAGCTGCGCAGAGGGTACTGCGTTACTTGTGCAGTACATCGGGCATGGGGCTTGTGCTTGGAGGATGGGGTCTAGTGGTACTCACAGGACACTCCGACGCTTCTTGGGCTGACGACAAGGCGACTCAGCGGTCGTCCCAGGGTTACTCTTTCAGTCTCGGCTCTGGTTCTTTCTCGTGGAGGTCTACTCGTTCGTCTTCTGTGCTTGGTTCCAGCTGTGAGGCCGAGATCTACGCTGGGGACATGGCTGCAAAGGAGTTACGTTGGCTGACCTACCTGCTGACCGACTTGGGTGAGCTGCCTCGTTCTCCTCCAGTTTGTTGACAACAAGGCCATGATTGCCTTCTGTCAGGAGCAGAGACTGGAGCACAGAACGAAGCACATTGCTCTTCGTTACTTTCTTGCTCGGGAGCTGCAGCAGCGTGGTCAGCTGCGCATTGCTTACGTGGCCTCTCGGGCCAACAGTGCTGATGTCTTCACCAAGGCCCTTGGGACTGGTGATCATCAGCGTTTCTGCACTGCTCTAGGCCTTGTGCCTACTCTGCCTCACCTGCTGGTTGCTTGACTTGTCTTGTACTGTGATCTATACATATATATACCTGCATGCTTGTTCTTGCTAGGTTGTGATCACTGTACTGCTTGTGCTTTTATAATTCTGCATGTGAACTGGCCTTGTGGCCGCTTGCTTGTGCTCAGAATGCATGGTGATCTTGAGATCCACACTGAGCTTTGCGTTGCTTTGTTCTCTTGCTTGACTGGTCTTGTGACCGTCCGCTGTGTTTGCTATCCCCCTTATGGGGGTGTGTCAAATTGTATTTGTTCTCTGTAGGCTGTAGTGGGGCATACCCTAAAGGGTACAACACTTTAGGGTTAGGTAGTACTTGTACTCACTCTTCCTACCTAGTCAATCATTCGTACGTTTCTATTCTGACACAGACATGTAGCACGGTCTTAGAGTTGACTAGTGACATTTGAGCCTTCCCCTATCCAGTTTTTTTTTTTTGGGGGGGGGGGGGGGGGGGGGGGGGGGGTGGGGGGGGGGGAACTGATTACTCTGGGGAAATGATTTCCAGAAAATGATTACTCTGGGGAACTAGAGAAGTATAACTCTGAAATTTTTAGAATTCAGATACTATCATAAGACTAAGGCAGATTTTACAGCTAACGGGTCTTTTGCACAAGTCTAGAGGGATGGGTTTTCCTCGAAGTGACAGGAATGGTGTAGGGGAGTTCGTAATCTGCAGTATGAAAACTCATTATCCGGTAGGCAATTACTCTGAAATTTTCAGTATTGAAAAAAACATTAGTCTGAAGAACTCATTTTTCAAAATCAGCCAACTCTGAAAAATCAGGAATGTTAGGAATATAGTCTGAAATTTCAGACAATCATACTAAAATAGTCTGATATTGTCAGCCCTGGAGTCATTGCACTTCTTGAAGCTGCACATAAGTATGATGTGGTTGATCTAGCGGAAAAAATAGACCGCCAATTGTCCACGCTGCATGTGGAAGAGCACTCTCTCCTCCATGTGCTGAAAGTTGTGGATCGGGTGGGGGCAGCACGGACAAAACGGGCGCTGATGCACCACATTTTGCACGGCATGGATGCCAAGAGCAGCCAAGGGCTCGTGAAGGTAATGCCATGTGCGCTTTAGTTTACATATAATGTTGCTTGCCATGTTGAATCATTCTTTGGTGTCATGACATTGATGTTTCATTGTCATAACCAACTCCTGCATGCCTCCAGGAAATGATTGAGAGCAGTGATATGCATGACAGGCCGTTGGCGACGGAGCTGGTTGCCGCTGTTTGGCGAAAATACTAATCAACCACAAGTAGTGTATTCGGTACACTGGGAATGCAATTGCATTTTGCATTGTGAATATGGCCATATCGTCAAAGCTTGTTTAGACCATCTTGCAGAGCATGCTTCATTCAGACATGAATACACTCTTCCTATAACTCCTAACGGTGGCTCCCTTTGCATTAGAGTCAACAGGGAGTTCCATGTAGCATTTGCAGAAGTGGCATCGTAAAACAAAATATGAAAAGATTGGAGGCACCTCTTTCATTCTGCACCTAGAATCTGCATTTGTTGCATATGCCGCACCTATTTTCTCCACAAGGAATGAGACAATTCCAACATCTCAAATCAGTTTCTACGTTTGTTGCATATGCCGCACCTAGACTCTGCAACGTCGCTTGTGTTGAGACGCGGCTGTCAAAAATATATCAATTCTACTCCAAATGCCCTGATTTCCATACTACAGCCGCATTGTTCTGTATATAGTGCAGACAGCATTTTCAGCAATTGTTGCTTATGCTAAACGACGCAAAGTCGCTTGTCCTAATACATGGCTGTCAAAAAAATGTAATCGCTTTTCCAAATGCCCTGAATATCAAACCGCACCCTCATTGCACCATATTTATAGCTACCGCTAATACAAGACAATTCCCACATCGCGGCACTATACCTTAATTGTTTCCTTTTGAATCTACTTTAGTGTTTGGCGACGTCGCATTATTCGAGACATATTAGAGGTGCAAAGGCGCGTCTTGACAATTATATTGTGCTTACCTGAAAATAGATCCGTGTACATTATGTTGCTTTCTAAAAATAACAAGCAATGGATGTCGAACTTCTGATGACAACACTGTATACCAACGCTCCAAGAGCCAAGACTAACATCCCCAAGTTATTTTGCGCAGACGCAATATCACCTTGCTCATTTAGTGAAATGGGAAATGTGTTTGTGTCCTAAAGGGTCAGTGTCAGAATGCTATAATTGTCTAGTCTGCAGTGGGGTACTCTATAGTGAGTACAACCCAAATTATGGTTTGCTATATGTATCCTATCTGCTGCTAGTGCAACCTCTCTTTCTGCTTCTAAGTTTTTACTAGCGTTTCTCGACATGCTATCAGAGCGAGAATGCTACTGGCCTGTGGGCCCACCTGCTTCCGCTGCTGT